TAGGTACGTCTATTAATTTGATCAATAAGTATGCAAATCTAACATATAAACTCTCCGACATCTCGGCTGACTGATATACTAACTTTTTTAAAATTTTCAAGGTTATAGCACCTTTTTATGAGGAGATATAGGTGTGGGAAAACTTTTGTCAAATACTGTATATATAAAATTAAAAAAATTTTGTCAGCAAATTTGTTAGATTGTTATAGAGAAATCTTTTTTAAAATTTAATATTTTATGTACAAGAATATTAAGTGAAATGCCAGAAGATAACCAAATTATGCATGTGACAAATCATAAATTATGTGAATTATACAAATTTTTAAGTCATTAGCCAATAAAAATTCAAAAAGAATGACAGTCAGATGATTACAGTCACAGGGACAAACCTGTTTATTCATTTAACCAATCAATTTTTGTTCACATGCTGTGTGAGGGTTTAAGAGAGATTTTTAATATATTAATAGTATATCAAAAATCTCGTAATAATTTGGGAAAGTCAAAGTGTCTTTTTAAGCAAATGTATGAAGCGACTATTTATTATTAATAAAAAGCGATCTAAGACTGGTGTCTCTTTTACACCTTTATAATACTATCGAACTTACATGATTACATTTTTACCTAATTATTACTATATGTATGTTCTACAATCGCGGTATTACTCAAGTGCTTTATGCGCATAATGATACATTATGTCAGTGTTCTATAAGTATTACACTATATTACCTACTTTCGTCTGAACCTCTATCGGTACTTCGATATTCGTCCCGACTCTATCACGTGATAACATAATATTATAGTCGTTACACGAGTCACACTTCGTGGCTTTTACCTTTGCACTACTAATACTATTACATGCTGCATGAATGCGATTTCATATAGTAAAAATTGCATATTATGTCGCATCATCCTGGACACCCTAGCGATACTGCAGGGATGGTAAAATTAGAGGTCATTTGCCTTTTTTTCAAATGACCTAGGTCATTTTAGGCTAAAAATTCATAATAAAATTGGGGTCATTTGAGGTCATTTGAAGTCATTTGAAGGTCATTTACCATCCCTGTGGTACTGGTGTAGTTCTGAAAATGGGATACTTTGTCAGCAGTGTATGAAATCAATGTGCACAATGTGTTCACGTGCACATATTTTTTGTAAATTTACATATAAAATTTTAACTTTGCACATTGTGCACACTTTTGTGCACATATTTTGTTTGTCAGTGCACTACGGTAATCAACTTCGAGCGGCTTTAATGCTTTTTGATATCTCAAACCATCCCGATTGTCTGCATAATGACATTAATGTAAATGGCGTATAATTTCTGCAATCAAAAACGTCAATATATTGTACAGTCAGACCTTGATATAATCACCAGGTTGGGAAACAAAAATTGGTGATTACAAAAAAGTTGTATAAAGGTCAAGTTTTATATAGCTAAAGCTAGAAAATAGCGTGACTATAACAAAGTTATGACTATATCGAGTGTGACTATATCGAGGTCTGAGTGTATATATGCGATATCTTTATTAAGAAAATGTAAGAACCAAATAAATAAGAGTAGTAATTTAACGATTAATTCTCATAATAACTACTCCATGGTAAAACAGGCATAGCATCAGGACTTAATTTCATTCTGCTTTTGAATAAAAATAGATCATCAATCATCTCGTTACCAGATGATAACTCATATTCATCCTTCTTTTCATCCTTATTTTTCGTTTCTGCCTTTCCATCTTCAAAAATTAAATTCATGAAATCTTTACATAAGTTATCCAGTGTTGTCTCTACTTCTTTACTTATTTCTTGGTCACTATTCATCTCACTAACTTTTTTCAAAAATAATTTTTTAATCTCCATTTCAATTTTCTGAGCATCTTTCCCAGCACTTTGAACTTTCAGAATATCAATAGCACCCTTTAATTCATCTTCTGTAATACTTGCGAATCCTTGAGAAGTTATAAGCGCATGCAACTTTTTAATATCAATTAAATCAAACCTTTTTAATAATGCAAGATTTTTGGATTTCAAATGAATTGAAAGTTTTTTCTGTACAGGTGAACGGGGATGAATATAGGTTTTATAGAATTCTAGAAGGTCGGTTTTTGCGATTTCACGTATGTTCGATACATCAGTCTCAACTATTAATTTAGTTGTTAATAATATTCAAAATATTAATTAATATGAAAATGTGTGAATTTAAAAATACAGTATACCATAATAACGCTCATGAGCGTTATTTCGAATTTTTTGCCCGAATTAAGTTTAATTTAGGCCAAAATTCGAAATTACACCCCTGCGCGTTATTACACAAAAATACGGTACATTATTTTGTTAGTTTACCTTGATCAAATTCATAATAGCCAGAGTAAATATGGCACCAATGTTTATAACTTTCTTCACTTAAATTTTTGGGTTTTTCTAACTTCTTACTAATCAATGAAGCTATTTCTTTTTTATATTCTTCTTCTGGCATATCTTCAATTATTGTCTGACTCCCAAAAAACATTTAAAACAATGTTATTAGTACTAAAAGTTAATGATATACAACATGAAAGACACACCTGTAATTTAATTAAAAATTCTTCGATCCTATTTTCCAAATAAATAGGATCTTTTTCACTTTGAATAATAATTCTGAGTGCCATTGAACCTGTTCCTTCCTCTACTGTACTCCAAACATAATATCCTAACGACATTGCAATATTAAATGTTATTTCCAACTAGATTCTAATAAATAATTTTATAAAGTTAATTACAAACCCAATTGTTCCTTAGTTCTTAGTTGATCAAAAGAAGGTTCCTCAGAAATTTGTCCTACTAATGCTAACTTAGCTCTCAAATCTTTATCCATTACATCACCAACTTGTATGTAATATTCTATAGCGCTGTTAATTTCTTTTTCATCTGAAACCTCCATCGTATAAAAGAATTTTTTTCCATCAGGTATACACACACTTCTATTTCCTGTTAATTGTGATTTTAAAATTTCCTCGGATGGTTTCAATGTATCCTCTAAAATTTTGATCATATCTAACGCATCTTCTCGACTCATATTTCCCTGAACAAACCCTTCAAACAGTAATTGATCAAATAAAGATGGATAAAAGTGCTGTACATCCTCATATTGGATTTTATCTAATAATTTACTTTTTTCTTTGTGTGTCCATGATTTTTGAGTGGTTGCATAACTTCTGTAATACATGGCTTGATAACTAGGAGAATCCAGTGAACGATTGTCATATGATCTTTTTAATTCTTCTTTTATTTTTTGAAATCGATTTGGATCAATTTGGAATGATTTCATTTTTTCAACAATATTACGGAGAAGTAAAGGCGATTTATCGTTGTAACCTTGAATTGTCACAATTATTCCTTCATTATGATTGTAGAGATAATAAGCAAGACCTGCTATCTCGGCATCATATGCATATTCTGTAAATGCGTCAGTTACAAGGCCAATGTATAATCGAGTTTTTACAGAATTCAGAGGTGTAGAATGTGCTATTGGACTGTTTTTCAATGTGTTGAATATTAGTTACGTATGATAAATGTAAAAATGTATTATATTTTAAGAAAATGGTAATTTAATTACGTTCTTATTATAAAATGTGCCATAATTCTAGGTGTCCAAAATGTATCATCCTTTTTGTACCAAAGACGACTCGATGTTGTATTTTTTGGAAGAACGGGGTGGGTACGTGGATAATGAACGAATTGGGGTAAATGGGTTGTCAATACTAGGCCGCAT